GACCAAACCTCATGAATCTGCCTTGATTGAGCTGCAGATATTTTTCACTAAGATCGGTAGGGGAAAAAAGAAAGGAATTCGACTTAAGCAAATGATCCTTCAGATGAAGGATTACTGTGAGTGTGAATATCATACTAAATGCTCAGCAGATTTAGAAGGGCACATGGTCCTTGACTGAACTATTATACTTCGCCCAAGGACAGCACAACTACATGTACTACAAGCTCGAGGTAGCAGAATCATCTTCATGCATTCATTGTTAAAGAAGTGTTTTAATTACCTAGTTACAATGTATTCTTAATATGCTTTGCAGGTTAAATTGTAAAACCTTCAGGAAAGCTGAATTTTTAGGCGGGAAGGTGAAACTGATCCCTTTAATGTACAAATAATCCTGCCATAACAAAAAAAATAGAACACTTCAAAAAAGTTGTTGTTTTAGAAGGAATATTTTGTAAGCAATTTTAATAAGAAAATGCAAGCATGGACAACTTAAACAGCCTTGTCACCACAGTCTTTAGCTACCCAAAAGATATTTTAATTCTCTTTAGCCAATTCTCTTTATAGAAATACCTAACCCATTTAGGCTCCCAGAGAATTCCTCAAGAAAGTAAAGTTCAGGCAGAACCTTATCAAGTTGATGTGCAAACATAAGTTTTTAGATAAAGCCCCACTTGTTTGTGAGGGCAGATGGCAACTTCCTGGAAGGAAGTTTAAGACCTCCCCCTCCCCTGCCTTCTGCAGTGCTATAAGGATGTTTTTGTCCAGAACACACAGTTGCTCTGATTTCATCTTTCTTCCTCATCAGTTGATACATGCTGTACACTATAGTCACTGGGTAACACTCATGGCTTTGCACTAATAAAACCACAGAGAGACCAGTAAGATCTCAGAAATATCTAAGTAACAAGGATACATGTCATGTCCTCCCTCCTCCCCCACTTCCCCAGCATTTAGCCTTCCTTATCAGATGGACCTTGTGAACCTTCTCTTACAACTTAAAAAGGTTGAATGTCCAGAATCAGGAACAGTTAACTCCTGGATGGCATCCATGGAAGCTGTGAGCGCTCACAGCACCTGTTTAGCTAGGCCATGAGTTACAGCATCAATCTGACATGCCAATATTGCACCCAAAGCTGAGCAGATGCTGAGTGGAAGCTCTACCCCTTGTCTAGCTCACTGCCCAGGTGATGCTGAGGTGCACTGATGTCTTTTTCCAGTGGATAGGATATGATGAAAGTGCTGTTTAAATCAGAACTATACAGCTTTACACTAGAACTGAGAAATAATATTTAACCCTACCACAGCAGAATCCACAGTGAAAGAGCAAGTATTTATGAACGCCTCTGCTTCCCTAGAGAGAGCTGTTACATGGCTTTACTGCCCAAATTGTGGGAAACATCAGCAACTTTGAGGTTGCTCCTCAGTCACCCTGTTTCTGGCAGATCTCTTAACAGTACCAAAGGAGAGAGGTGCACTGAAACATGAGCTGGAATTATTTGTTCCCCAAATGGTCTAGTAGCTAGCATGTTTGCATAAGCTCTGGCTAAAGTTTGAGCACAAGCAGGAGAAGGATGGGGTTAGAAAGTTTTCTCTACCGACTGAAGTAGTTTAAACATTTAAAACATTTTGAAAAAGATTGAGACAGCCATAGCCTCATCTGTCTTGCCACATAACGGACATGATCTGTCACAACCCACTTGTTAACAGCATCACACCAGACTATCAGACTGTATATGTTACATTATAGATACTAAATGAGGATTCTTAATGTTAGGTGCTGAAAGTGAGGTTAAGTTACTTTACAGATGTGTATGCATGTCTATATCTAGTGAGTTGCCTGAATGGTCACTTTCCCAGAAATATTTTCATTAAGAAATGGAGATGAAAAAATGTAAGGCAGATTTATTAAAGTAATCAACTTGTGATCAAATTCAAGCTTACAGTTTGAATCATTATCAGGAATTAGCTTAAATATATGGTATTTGATCCCAAGAACAGCTATGATTCATTTCAGGAAAGATTTTTCAAATTAGGTAATAGACAAAATTTATAGGGTTGGATCCAGAAGATTGTGGGATGTTGATGTTTTTGCCAACTTAAAGAGTATTTGCATTATTTAAGTATTTTATCCAATATCTGGGAAGTGATAATGTAATGCCACTGTTTCAACTATGCCAGTTAGCCAAAAGCCTATGGCAGTACAGACTGTTTCAAAGTGGAGAAATCAGTAGTGATGTAGGTGATCCTGCAGCATTTTGTCTATGAATGCAACAGAAAAGCCTATCTCCTTAAACATGTCAGGTGTGAAACAAAAAGCAATGCCTCTGTTTTCCTGTGCAAACCCCTCACTGCCTGAAAGAAGCTTTTGTCCCAGCTTTTCCTGAGGGGTGCATTTCAAAAGCTTTCTCAGATTGCGTTTGGCATTTTACTTCTCCCTCACTCAGTTCTGAGGTGTTTCTCTGTCTTTCACAATACAGAGTCTTGACAAACATAGCCAGGGAAAATATTCCCACACACGTGTCTAGAACGCACCTTTGTTTTAAGCAGTGATATGTACTGCTGTTTTAGAGCAGCATCTGCGCCCCTCACCCCAGTTACCCAATTCTGCTAGAGACACTAGCTTGAAGCTATTTTAAATAACAAGCTGCAGTCGTACATTCCAGGTTTAGCCCATCCTGTAAAATACTAAGTTTTCTGAGTCACAGGAATAAAAAAAGGAAATCTAATCATTATAATTCATATTTTACAGAAGAAAGTACAGGTCACTGAACCCAAAGAGTTTAACATGTTATACATTGTCAGCCCAGAACAGATATGTACTCCAGGCTGTCAATATTTTCCATTTTCTTCTGTAAAAGCATATTCTCTCCAGTGGCTGGAACAGCTGTTTCAAGGCAATTCCATATTGTGGTGTGTGCCAGGGTATATTTAAACGCATAAAATGGAGGAAATAAAACATAGCTGTATTTATAAATATAAATATCAGGTAAAAGAAAAGCTCAAGTGATGTGATACATAGGCATAAGAAGAAACCACCCCAGCTTTTGCTTTTATCTTTTGTGATCCCTGCACAAGGCAATGGCACAGATTTTTTTCCTACAGGCAGCTATGAGTTCACTCTTGCTTAGTGACGAACATTGCATGAGCACTGAAGAGCACTTTAAAGGCATCAGACATCCTCTTTTAGAACATAGATAAACAAAATCACTTAAGGCATGTAGCATCTAGAGGTTCTTTGCCTTTTAACACTGACAACTTGTTTCTGGGTATGCCCAAAGTTACCAGAATAGGATCTAGCAATACAGTGTGCTCATATTTAAGATACAGTGAGTTCCTCTTGTGTAGGGACTTGCTATTATAGGAGTTCTCAAAGATTGTATGGCAAAATAGCATTTAATGGGTCAAGCCATGTTAATTCACTGCATCAAGTACTGCACAACAGCTTTCTCTTGGCAAAGAGTTATTTTTTAAACAAAGTCTCTAAGAGAACAAAAATGTAAGGCTACACATCACATGTTGTTAAGGGGAAAACAAGAATTTTCTCAGAAGAATTGTCACAGGTGCTTTAAGCTAAGTACTCATATACCTAAACAATACTAAATATTCAAGATTCATTTCAGCAGATAGCTGTTAACAAGGGCAACACAAGACCATTCTGCAACCACACGCTGATCCACAGAACAAGATTATACCCTTGCAGTGGAAGAGTGGCAAGTTTTCTTTACTGTTTCACAGTACTTGAAAATTATGCAGGAGAAATCCAGTAAAGCTGAAATTAAACTCATACAGCTCATTGAACACTTCAATGAAATTAAATGTAAATCGCAGAAGCAGAAAGAAATCTGTTGAAAGTACAGTATTTAAGACATGAATAAAATTAAAATGCATTTATAATTCCCACACTTCTGTGAAATATGAAGACTAACATTCTTACTCACACACACTAACTCAGTGTGACCACACTAGCTTCTTCAGGAAGAAACTGAACTTAAATGAAAAGCATTCCTTATTTCCATGCTGTCATTACCTAAGATCATATTTAATTGACCATTGAGCAATGACTTGTATCTCTAAAAATAAAGAAATAAATGCCTAATATAATATAAGGGAAGTAAACATGGTCATCCAAATATGCAAGCTATATAAGTTCAAGGCCAGTTAATGAAAGCCAGCTACTTATTGGACTATTAGCTCTAGTAAATAAAAGAATTAAGTATCAGTGAAACTGAAAGGCAGGGGACACCACATCTAAAACCACAGAGTATTTTGTTCACAGGTATTCAGTGAGACTTTATCAGTAATTAAGAGTATCTTAGTATAGCATCATAGTATCACACCACCTTGAGATACCCAATACACTACCCTAGCAGACAAAAATCCACACTATGACAGAGCCGCTAAAGCTCTCTCAGAAACATAACAATATCCCAATAAACAGGGCATTTCTGAAAGGCTACAAAAGGCCCAGAAACATAGCTGGAAAGAGCAAGCAGGGATTTCAGGAGCAGCTCTAGGAAGGTTAGGAAGAGAAAACTCAGAGAGAAGCTCCCCCAACCATAGCTTCATACTTACAGCTCCTCCCCAGGGCCAGATTGCTACAGCTTTCATGCCTGCTGCAGGAAAACTATGAAATAAAGATGGGCTGGGGGGGGAAGAGAGACCCCTATCAGTTATAGGCTGGGGAAGAAAGGTGGAGGCCCTCTCTGCTAGATACACAGGTGGCTGCTCTCCATGAGAGACAATGCCTGTGCCCACAGCCAGCTGAGCTTCCTTCATCATGCACACCAATTGCATTGTTTCTGACCTAAATAATTAAACAGAGGTCACACCTCCACTTTTCTCAGATTACCGGCAATGAGCAGTCAGTATCAATTGTGTTTTAATTCCTGAGGAGCATAGCCTGCTCCCGCTCAGGGAGTGCTGCTGTAGGGGTGAAGCAAAAATTCAGGGCAAAACCATGTTCATGCCAGAGCAATAAATCCCAAGGGCCTGGCTGTCCCTCCCACAGCTGCTAAGCATCAAGACTTGTGAAAGGGGGAAAAATAAGAGTCCTCACATGGCCTAAGTGAGGGATCATCACTTGAGTGTGTGGCTTCTTCAGTCCTTTCACTAGTCTGCAGCCTCCATGTGATGTTACTGCAAGGGCTGTAGCACAAAGATAGAGTTTGAATGTACTTATTTGTGTTTGACTGCTATATATTGTATTTGCAGTTGTTTCTGAGCACAGGGGTGGCACGTATTCTTGTACTTTGCTGGCTTGGCCCAACAAGGTTATTTCTGTAACCTGTTTAAAAATGTTGCTGTAAAAGCAGGGTATTAAAAGTGTTTTTACATGCTAATCTCTGAGGCTGGTTTCTGTCTCCCTCCAGGAGCTAAACTGAATGTATTTCATTATGTAAAAAGAAGCTTAACTTTAAATGCTGAAATAAACAATTGACACCCCTCCCATGTTCCTAGATTATAACAATAGTGTCCTATTTACAGAGAAAGCATTAATGAAGATTGAACTACTTTCTCAGGTGAGGTATTAAGAAATACTAGACTTTGAGGTACAAAAGCAGCATTTTTTTGTGAATAAGGGATTAACAGATTGATAAATTTGGTATCTTCTAGAATAGTATTTTTTCTGTAGTGTTGTGAACTATAAAATGCAAATATCTCATAAGTCACCCATTAGGCAATAATCATTAGCAGTCTTGACACTAACACAATATTGGTCTGGAATGTTGTCTCTGCTACATCTTGTTTTGTTTTAAATCATCTCTTTCTTTTCTTTCATTTTCTTTTAGGTCAGTGCAAATTTCTGAAGCTGAAGGAAAGGGTCAAATTCTTCCCCCAACTATACAAAAAATAATAAAAGGATACAACAAGTATCTACGTCCATTTTTTGACAGTAAGTAGAAAAGCTGTGATTGTTGTGAGTCATGAAAACCAGCAATAAGAGCAAATGTTTTTTTCCTAATGCTTTTTTCCCTGTTGTTTGACAGTGACTCCTTTGAATCTACTTAATGTCCTAATATATAATAAGACATAACATAATGCTTTTTGTGGCCAAAAGTAAAATCTATATATTCTAGATATTCATAAGTGATAATTCCAGACTCTGTTAGAAACTTGTGTGTTAATGTTTACATGTTCTCGGTGAAGCAAACTGCAAAACCTCACTTATTTAAAAGTATAATTTACCCTGATTTCCTAAATAGCAACTACGCAAAATTTTTGTTAAAGATAAGACAGCTCTACATACCAAATTGTTCATAAAGGCATTGGTAAGTCTTATTCTATACCGAGTATTATGTGCATCTACAAGAGAATTAAATAAATGCTTTTTGCCTTGGGTCTTAAAGGTCACTGAACTGGTTCATTGCAGTACTGTAAGGGAAAATGAACTGAAAATGTCAGATCCCTGTGTCACACAGTCACAGTCACCAGGTTGGACGACCCACATTGTCTCTGGCACCAAGGCTGATTTTAGTGCCCTGCAGCACAGTCAGCTATGCACACTTAAAACCTCAGTAATGAACATCTTCCTTGGCTGTTTATGGCTATTGTATGTATCACAAACAGCAGGGAGTTGCAGAGTGGGGGGCGCAGATCTCTGTCTGGATTAACTGCAGAACTCTGACACAGAAGATATCCTGCATGTTGAAAAAAATGCGAAGCTTTGTGTATCTGTCAGAAAACAAACCTAGACAATAAATGTTAGGCAATTGTTCCTAAACTAGGAATTCAGAAACATTGGGGGTTACAAATGAAGGCTTTTATATCCCTTTATATCCCACTTAAAAGTGATTGACTAAAGAGATTATCAGACCATGTTGTTACCTCTTGCTATCTAAACACCTGGTGAGGGCATTTCATGCTATATGCAATTTCTGAATCAATTTCCTAAAACATTAAGAGAAACCTATATTTTAGGTTTAAGAGAGAGGGGAAAATAATGATTTCATCTGTTCATTTTTATTGGAATTGCCTCAACTGCTGATACAACTGCTTTAGAGTATTTGCGTGGTCATTAAGAAGATTATCAGCAAAATAAAAGTAATGACAACAAATAAACTCACCCCTTCTGATTAGAGGTAATATGCAATGAAAAATATAGTAGTGATCACTGAACTTAGAGTTATTTCATTCATTGCTTTGTGCTGGTAATGGAAGCACGTTGGCACTGCCATTATGAATGTGTATTGTTAGACAGCAAATGGAATTGGAATTTCATTATAACATCTTGTTATTGTAATTGTGACCAACACTAAAACACTCTTGAGCTATGAACATCCTTTTTAAAAAAAAAAAAAAAAAAAATATATATCTTTAAATATAGGCAGAATATTTTCTCAGTTATTGGACAGTAGTAAATCTATAGCTCTTTTTTTTTTTTTTTTTTTTTTTTTTTTTTGGCCTGGAACTCCCAGAGGAGCTCAAGCACAGCTCAAATCTATGTCGTATGCAGAGCCAGCCAAGCACTTCCAGACAGTGTCTGAATCACTGCATATGCTCACCACAGTTCAGGCATGAAAACACTTGTGTCCCAGAAATCTTTGATGGATGTGTAATAGCTCAACTGCTGAAGGAATGGGATGGGACTCTTAAAAAAAACAAACAAAAACAAAAAAAACAAAAAAAAAACAAACCAAAACAAAAAAGCCAAAACATTTTACTGGTGCCAATTGCCAATTGTAAATGCAGAGCTGTTGGTTTCACAAAAAAAAAAAAAGGCTGATTTGGGTGGCCATAGCTATCCTGTTCTTGTTCTGTGTAATATTTTACTTATTTCTATGGGTATGCAGAAGGTGTACATCATATCTGTCCTTCATCAGAAAGGGATTTTTAGTGTAATTGCCTTCACTTACAATCATATCAGTGGCTACAAGACATTAGCTAAATACTTGATGAAACTGGAGTTTAGTCCCTTACACCTCATCTGTGACTTTTTTTTTTTTTTTTTTTTTTACCTCCTTTGTCCTCCCTCCACAGCGGATTGACAAATAAAAAAATGAACCTGTTCTAACCTGTTGCTTAGGGTTTAGTAGGCTAATGAATGAATGCATAATAAAAAAATAACCAGGGGTGTTCTGGTAGTGGTGAAGATTATCAGCCTCTGTAAAAGTCTGCTCACTTCTAGTTGCATCAGTGCTGATTTACTCTGAAGAAGAAACTTGTATTTCTAGAAATATGAACAGAACAGGATGCATATGGACATTAACCCTAACATCAGTGTTTGCTGTCTGAAGTGCATGAAAAGTTTCCCATAAAATGGGAAGAAATATAATAAAGTAATAACCTGAAGTCAGCCTTTCCAAGACAATGGAATCCCTTTTGGGGGCTAAGATTACTTTTGCTTTCAGAAGAGTGCATGGTCTATTTATTTGTTTGTTCAGTTAGATGTGAGATGGCTACAGGTTAGCTTGATTTCTAGAATAATGTAATTCAAAGTAATTTCCAAGTTCTTTGGCCTTGATTTTTTTTTCTTCAATCAGGAAATGGAGATTTTTTTTTGAAGTGATGTTTGCTGCCAAGACACAATCATACCCTTATAAAATCAGTGATGCTGAACTCCTTAATATTTAGCATAATGGATTTTTAGTCCAGAAAAGAAAGCATTAGATATAAGCTGATGATCATAAAATGAAGGTTGCTTTTTCCTAAAGCTGCAAAAACAAGAAATCTATATTAGTCAAGGAAGTATTATGGCAGTTTGTGTGTTCTTAGTTTGTGTTTGATCCTTTTGCTGGGACTGGCAGAAAATTATCTAAGTGGATATAACTCATTAAAGAGGATATGAAGATATTTTCCTTTTGAATTAGATGACTATGCATAACAACATTACATCGTCTTCTCTTGCATGGATTTGAATGATTAGATTTTCCAGATTTCAACCCTGGGTTAAATTTACCTTACTTTAGAGTTCTGTCCTCCCACACAGGTTACCTTTACAGACCCTTGCTACCAGAACACTGCCATTTATGCCCATCACAGACTGTCATTCCCATTTCTTTAGGTCTTTAGGGACCTAAATAGGGTGCGTACAGTTAGTTTAGATGAAGCCAGGCTTAGTACCTCAAGGGTAGACAAGTAAAATGGACCAAACATCTTATATTTGTCTGTACTGGGTGTCACACAGCAGTTAGAAAATCACAGGGCTAATTTATGCAGTGTTTGATACACAGGAATCCCAGAAGGACTGGTTACTTGTCTCTTCTACCATCTGAATATCAATATTAAAATGTTCCCTTTTCTTACCTACAGCATTTTAATGTTCTTGTTTGAGCTGGTTCATCAAGCAAGTCTAAATAATTTGAGCAGATAGATCCTGGAAGTTCTATTAAGAGATTAAAAGACTACCTGATATAGAATGATCTTAGCTATTATTTGGACTGTAATATGAAATGTTTTTATATTAGTATTAGTAGATAGTGCCCCTTAGTGTAATAATGTCCATCATAACCTTTTAGATAGATGTGTAAGTCTTCTGTAGAAAAGTTGACATGGGATTTAAAAATGCACAGTTATTTTTCTTAAATGTGCTACATAACCCTGTGTAGTGGGTTTACGTGGCAAGGCTTTGGTAGCAGGGGGCCATAGGGGTGGTTTCTGTGAGAAAGATCTAGAAGCTGCCCCATGTTTGGGAAGGGCCCCATTGTTTTCCAAATCTGAGCCAATAAGCGATGTTGTTTTGCGCCTCTGTGAGAGCATATTTAAGACAGGGAAAAAACTGCTGCGCCACACAGCAGCCGGGAGAGTCAAGGGAGTGAGAAACAGCCTTGCAGGTGCCAAGGTCAGTGTAGAAGGAGGGGGAGAGGTGCTCCAGGCGCCGGAGCAGAAGTCCCCTGCGGCCTGTGGTGAGGACCATGGTGAAGCAGGATGTCCCCCTGCAGCCCATGGAGTACCACGGTGGAGCAGGGTTTCACGCTGCAGCCCGTGGAGGAGACCACGGTGGAGCAGGTGACCCTGCACCGACGGAGGCTGCCGCCTGTGGAAGACCCCTGCCGGAGCAGATTCCGGGCCGGACCTGTAGCCCGTGGAGAGGAGACCACGCAGGAGCAGGTGATCTGGCAGGAGCTGCTGCCCGTAGGGGAGCCAGGTTGGAGCAGTTTTCTCCTGAGGGATGGACCCCGTGGTACGGACCCATATCTGGAGCAGTTCTGGAAGAGCTGCTGCCTGTGGGAAGCCCACGCCGGATCGGTTCGTCAAGGACTGCATCCCGTGGGTGGGACCCCACAGCACAGGGGACGAGAGTGACCGAGAAGGAGCGGCAGAGAAGAAGTGCTGTAGACTGACCATAACCCCCATTTCCCCGTTCCCCTGCGCCGCTCGGGGGGAGGAGGTGGAAGAGGGTGGATGGGGGGGGAGGTGCTTTTGGTTTCTTTCCTTTGTTTCTCACTTCTCTAGCTTGTTAGTAATGAGCAATAAATCTTACTATCTGTCTTCTTATGCTGAGTCTGGTTTGCCCGTTACACTAATTATTGCGTGATTTTCTCGTCCTTATCTCAATCCTTGAGCCCCTTTCACATATTTTCTCCCCATTCCTCTTTGAGGAGGGGGAGTGAGAGAGCGGCTGTGGTGGAGCTCGGCTGCCCACTCGAGCGGAACCACGACACCCTGACACTTCATCGCACCAAGACAAGCGGATTTTAACATCAGGTTTTCTGCTGCAAGTGTGTAGACCAATTTTTTACCTTAGGTGCTGTGCCAAACCTCTCCGAATTAATGAGCAATTCCTGCTGACTTCAGTGAGGCTTGGATCAGGTTCAGAGTTGTTAAGGGATGCATAAAATCTTGTAAATAAGTTTATACAAATAGATTTTGTTCTGTGATTAAATGTGATAATTTAAGTGTTCTAATTAACAAGAGAGAGACTAGGAAAAGGTCACAGCTAAGTGTATTTGAATATGGAAGCTACTTTCAAGTGGTATAAAAAAGTGCCATGCTTAAATCAGTTACTCTAAACCACATTTAAAAGATCGTTTTCCTTAGCTTTCTAATGAGAATACATTTCAGGGTCTCAATGTTTATATTCAAGGAAAACAAATCTTCTAGTCCAACGTTCTCTATAAGACCGGTCACCATATTTTTCCCAAATGTTGTTTATATGAAGTTCACAGAGTTTAATTAGATAATGGCAGCTTAGGTCTCAGGTTTACGGATTACCCTCAAAGATACGTGTATCAGGCTGTTCAGTGTGTCTAAGACTTTTTGATTTAATAAGACAAGCTCACATGGTACGTAAGAAATACATACCAAATAATTGTCAAGTGGATATTTTATGCACAGCTAGCTTTCTTATCTGGTGTCTGCCCACAAATACAACCAATATCTAATCTTTCGTCAAAAGGCAAAAAGCCAAGGATGTGTGTGGCCACTTGTATATTAAGGATTCCATTTCTTTTTTCCCCTAAGACTTGTGATTTAGTAAATTGTTGACTTGGTACTTGTAAACTTTAACACACAGGTGGTGATGTAGATTTCCCTTCTTTTATGGCAATCAGAGACACAATGAGACTACCACTGTCATCAGACCTAACTTGCTGCATTCACGACAGATTTTCTTCTTACTAAAATGCTGAGTTCTAGAGGTTCCAAATGATGAATTCAGTTAGAAAATGATTCAGTTAGGAAAAAATCAACTTATTTGATGTTTCATGTTGTCTTCGTTTTGTATAAACTGGGGCTTTGCTTGGTTTTGTCAGCAAATATGTAGTATTGTACAGCTGGATATCTTTTCTGTGTTCCTCTGTCTCCTCTTGGAGGAGCTGAGTAAATACTGTTCATTAATTTTCGTGTTGCAAACTTTCATGTTACTGTTCCAGAGTTTTGCATCTTCTGGAATATTTCTCTCTCTCCATTGAACCCTTTCTGCTGTTTACGTGATTTTTGAAATGTAGGAAACAAATCTTGTCATGGTAATCTAATGACAGTCTTGCCAGTACTTGTCTAGATTATAAAATAACGTAATTCTGTGTATTGCTCTCCATCGCAATAGTGTTTTTGCCAAAGCATAATACTGAAAGCTCCTGTTGAAATAACTGAGACGATCTCTAAATCCTTCTCAAAGACACTATTTGCCAAGATAGTTTCCTGCCCTGTGTGTACTGTCTTGTGTTATTTGTCCTCATATTAGTTGCTTATGTTTGGTTGTATTGTGTTTTTTGACAAACTATTTAACAAGCTGTTATTAGTAATATCCCCACTAATTTTTATCTCATCCATAAACTGTACTATCAAAGATACATCACTGTCTAAAGATCATTGATGCAAACAAATGGAATTGAACCCAATTCCTGCTAGAAATGGGTCTGTCTTCTGATGTCTTCATATTAACTATTACAGTTGAATTCTGTCAGAAGGGCTACATTAATCTGTCTAGTAATTTCGTATAACATGTATTTGTCAAGAAAGATTTAGGAAGTTAAATATGCTGAAAAAATTCAGGTGCAATGTATCCCTATACATGTATCTAAAAGTCCCGTAATATTCTCAAACAAAGCAAAGAAGAAAATCAGGAGGACAAAAACATTTTAATGAAAAATATAATAAATTACTTTAGTTACACTTTTGCTTCTAATTCTCTAAGTTTTTTTTTTTTTTTTTTCTGCTAAAGTCCCTGCAAGAATGAGGTATTCTTTCAAAAGACCACCCCTTTCAAGAAATTTCTGAATGCCAAATTTGTTTTAAGCTTTTTTTAAACTGAATAAAGAAGAGCTAGCACTAGCTGTTCATTATATTGTTGATTGTAACTCACCATTTAAATCAAACCTACCATTTAAAGACCTACCATTTAAATCAAACACATACACGACTCAGTGGTAGTTGACTTTGTTGGTATGAAGTTTACCAGGCTGTGATCACTACAGTGGTCCAAAGTCAGTTAGCTATTTGACTCCTTATAGTATACCTGTCACTATTCTGGCTACTTTCCCACATGGGATTACTGTTAATATCTGTAAAGTGCATAAAATAACCACCCTTGTACATAACATAGAATTTAACTTTTACTGAAATTTAATTAGACTTTGTACCCGTTGCTATAACAAAATATGCCATTTGGCATTTCTTTGGCAGTTTTTAAGATTCATTTATGGAGGACTTAGTCTTCTTCTGAAGTTCAGTAGATTTCTTTGGAAGTTGTCATTATATACAAAATTCTGCCAAACATATGGAAATGTAGGAACTGACTGCCTCATCTGGCCTACTGCCCTGTTTTTGACACTGTCAACAGGAAACCTTTCAGAGGAAGGTCAGAAGAAACTCTGGTGGATAATTATGAAGATAGGATGGAAAGATTCATTCTAACTATTATTAATGCTTTGCTTATTTAACAAGTCACCGTAAATTACATTTAGCCTTAACAGTTGTGTGTTTTTTTTTTTTTTTTTTTTTTTTAACTAAGAATATTGTTCTGATTTAACTAACTGTTAAAGCCCAGCTGTTCTTGAAAGCCTGTGATTGTAGAGACTCCTTCCATAGTTTTCTTTCTGTACAACCCATCCTTGGCATGTTGTGCCCTACTATCCTCACAGGCTGGAATATGTCTGAAGAACTGGAGAAGAGGCAATTACTTTGCTTAATGAAAGCTCTTCCGGGCAGTACCCAATGATGCCTTAGTTGCCTTGTTGGATTTGCTGTTTTTGCAGTTGAAGCTCTACTCTTGAAACTGCAGCAAGTGCTTGTGATTTCACTCATGATCCTGTTCCTTCACCCTTGATGTTCTGCACAGAGAAACACCCATGCCTTAGCATCTCAATCTGTTATAGAGGGTGAAGCTAGCTGAGATTGTTTTCACAGAGTATTGATTTATGTGCCTTACCTGTGACAGATGTCAAAGCCACACCTTCATGGAAAAAATCTTTCTTCTTTGGCATACGCTACCACCTCCTACTTAAATGAGTTTCCTGATAACCACAAAGATCAGAATTGCAAATGTGGAATCCTACAGCCATTTCCAGCCAACAGCATTCCCACTGTCTGCTCATCTCGGCCACATCTGCCAGCTCAAGTGTGAAAGAAGGAGGCCCTGAAAGCTAGGACAGAGGATTATAATGATCAAAGCCTTCTGGTATGCCCTTTGTGTCCCACTGACCCAGAAATGCAATCTTGTAAGGGAGATACTCTTTTGGACTCTTTTAGATCTTTTGATTGAAGGCAACTGACGTAGGAACACAAGAAATTATTGTTAAAGTTTGTGAAACTATGCAGCTTTTTGTTTGTTTTTACTTTGACTTGTGGTGTATATGTCTAATAAATATCTGTGGGAATGTCTCTTTCTCATGAGTTTTCATGAAAGCTTGACTCAAGACAGGCTGGATGCACAACAGAAGTGTTTGGGCTGTGGAGACAGGCAGGGCTAGCAGAGCGGGACAGTATTGACCTAACTGCACCACCACTTGTTAGCACTTGAATTGCAAGGCACTTGTCTGCTAGGACAGTCGGTCTGAGCCTGAAGGACATCTTATACAAAACTAGGTATGTGTCACTTGATAATTTCTTCTCATTCCTAGTTACAGTTTATAGTCTATAATAAACACACAGATTGCCATCAAGGGATGCTGCAAGCCTATGGTCCTGCTTTAAGCTGGAGCTTTATATTTTAACTTTCAACTGAGTCCAGAACGAATAATTTACAGATTCTTTCAGGAGTGCCAGGTTTCTGGGACTCAACAGTTGTGCCAGACATTGATACTTTAACACTTGCATTGCAAAGGAAAATTATTATGAAAAAAATAAAATCAAAGATACCTTTTAGAGTGACACTTTATTTATTATTTTTTTTTTTTAATGTTGTTCAAATGGGATATCTATCTTATCTCCTCTTTCTGATCTCTACATGCTGCATAGGGTCATATAAGAGCTACCTACATAATACCTTGCAAGTGGCCTCAGTAGGTCTCAGCAGTGGACTTGTGGTTTCTGGGCACCATCAGCTGCACAGATTGTATCTAAACTATTCCTTCCTTTTCTAAATATTGTGTTCTCAGCTTCTTGTAAGTACATGGAAAGATGCACGTATTTAATAGGAATTTCTATGTGTATCTGCTTTGTTATATATTCTGCACATATTCAACCAGGACTAGTGTTATGTTTCCATGAAAGCTCTGCACAAATCCTGGTTTTTAAAAAGCACAGCTGGTGATCTTCTGACACTGTGAAATATGCATTCACAGGGAAGTGAGAGCCTGTGCATGCTAACACTACAATGACATCATGACAACTACCTAGGTGAGGTATTTAATCACACTGAATAAATGTTCAGCTGATATTATTATTAGAAGGAGTACAAAGTGACTAGCTTTCTTCATAAATGCAGGTATCTAAGTCACAAGCTAACTGCCAGTGGACAATGTTAAAATCAGTGACACGGTATAGACAATGTATTCTTAAACAGGCAGTAAATAAAGTCATTCAGATATTCCATCTGCATATTAAGCATGTGACATTGCCAGGAGCAACTCCTTTGTTCACCAACATCTGATGGACCAGATGTTGCAACTGGAAGAATTCTTTCCACCGCTCTGCACCTCAGAGCAGAAGGGTGTGATGTACCACAGGGATTGTGCCTTCCTCACCTTGTTCTGCAGTGTTTTCCACAGCACGCTTTTTAGGGAGTGAAGAAAAATATAAAACCATCTTAGGAAATAAAACATGTTTGTTAAAACCAAGGTAATGTTATTCTAGTGGTATTAAACTTTGGTTATGAAATCACTAAAATTCTTTCGTAATCAGAATTTTAGTGATACTTTCAGAAAAGCTACTAATCATTTAGAAAAAGATGGAAAATGTCATGGAGGATTGCGTAGCCAGTTCTTGTGAACACCATGTATTAAGTCACTGTGTGCTAGGTGCTGGCTGACTTTTTTTTTCTTTATTATTATTTCAGATGGTCCTGTGTCAGTTGGAATGAGTCTGGATATTGCAAGCATTGATACAATATCAGAAATAAATATGGTATTGTAGATTTTGCATTTTTTTGCTTGTTGGTAAGATAATGTCTTGTGTTTACAGCTACTGGCAATATGAATTTGAGTTCTTTTTTTCCTCGTGCAGTCAGTATGAGGTAGGAGAAGGATTAATTTTTCACTACAGAGAGTAATTATAGCACTATAATAAGTACTGAGTTTCTTATGACTAGATTTCTAGACTAATACTTGTATAGAAAAGCAGACAAATCATACCTCTTGTAGATACAAACATAAGTTTGCTACTGAGCATTAATCTTAATGAAAGGTATGTAAAGCAGTATTTATTTTCCAAATGAAGTGTCTAACTCCCTATGCATTTCAGAAAATCAAAGATATATTCACGTGACTTTGAAGCTACTCCTTTCCCTTATATTTAGACGGCTGAAAACATTTTATTTTTCTGTTACTGTCATATATTTATTCCAGCTGTTTCATTACATTTTGTATCAGTTATTTTTGAACAAACTATGAAATGGAATATACTTTTCTAATGAAATATCTGACCTGCCTAAGTAGAACCAAAAGGCAAAAATCATTAGTCAGATATTCAGTACTGGAAAGTGTGTGTGTGTGTGTCTGTTTCTGTGTGTGTATCGAAATTTACCTCGCTCAGGTTTCGAGAGCAATTGAATCTTAAAATCCCTTTTGTACTCAGCAAGTATTCACAGGTATTTAAAAAAGAAAAAGTAAGGACAGAACTTAAGATGAACTTATGCTGATAAAAACACACCATAAAATCAAAAGTTGCTTAAAAAGGTGCTAAGAAATTGTGTGATTTTAATGTAAGACAAGGCATACGTGAATTGAAGGTAAATTGGGCTGAGAGCTATCTTCAAGGTCTCAATAAATTTGGCACTGCTGTTTCCCTGGTCATGTTGAAAAGATAGATTGAGCTGGAAGATGATGATGTATTTGTTATATTTCCGTAACTTCCTATTACACTCACTTCTTTTGCCACTATGCATCTGAATTTATGCAACTTTTCCTAAAGTTTTCTTAAAAATATATTATTTAGTGGTTTATGTGAACAAAATGCTGTTTGCAATCACTTATATAAATCATCCTAAGATTTAAAGATTTACAGAGCCAGATTATGTGCTGACAAAACTCTGATGACTTCAGCTGATTTATAGCTCCAGGCTGAAGCCCTCAGCATTTACTGTAAAATTTCAGTGACCTGTAAGAACAAAATCTATTCAAGATAATATTTCTTAATGACATCAACATCACATCTAGTGCTGGAAAATTTGGCAGAATGAGAGCCAGTACAACTGTGATCTGTCTGAGTGCCAGCACTTAGGATCAGGACACAGAGTCACAGGCTATCTGTGCTCAGTAGTTGGTTCCATGCACTTTTTAAAAACAGAATAATGGTGTCTAGTTCTGAGTAATATATATATATGTTTTTTGTATTTCAGGATTACACAGCTACCATATTTTTAAGGCAGAGGTGGACTGATGAGAGGCTATGTTTCGATGGTAATAAGAGTTTAAGTTTAGATGGTCGGCTTGTGGAAATGCTTTGGGTACCAGATACCTTCATAGTTGATTCCAAAAAGTCTTTTCTTCATGATATTACTGTTGAGAATCGTCTTATAAGAATATACCCTAATGGAACAGTGTTGTATGCTATACGGTATGTATATACCACATACCAGCCTTTGTACTTGGTTTCTACGTACATTTTAAACTTTTCAGTTCAGCGTGATTTTATGCTTAAGAAACTGGTCTAATTCAGAAGTAGAATATTCATGGTCTTGTAGTTTTACAAATACATAATATGACTTATTAATATGATTAAAATCTTAAATTTACTACTAGGTCTCAATTTCTTCACTAAATAGCTCCTTTTGCTTTCATGTACACAAAATATAGGAGCTGCATCTTGGCATTCTAGTTTTGTGTTGAAATCACAGACGAAAGAAAGATACAGCGACTGATTTGTGTTTTTTTATTGCAGATTATTCTTTACAATAGATTTTGCTGAATATAAGATTGTTACTGTTTTGCAATTTATTTTACAGCAAAGGGAAAAGGTATGCTATACGTGAGAAAAAAGTGCCCTTTGTAGGCTGCTGCTAAACTCAGTTGTTTTGGAGTCCTTTCATGTTTTGAGTGCTGTTAACTTGTATCTAATGTGAACCAGTAAAATTTAGATTTATTTTCTTTGCAATAGATACTTGACTACAAATATTAGTTACAGAAAGTTACATAGGTCATTTTTACTTTTACTGATGAACAATTTTATCCCATTAATAATCAGCACTACAATGTTTTTCAAGGATCACCACAACTGTGGCGTGCAGCATGGATCTAACCAAATACCCAATGGATAAACAGACATGTACCTTGCAACTGGAAAGCTGTAAGAAAAGTTACTCTTTCTATTTTTATATAACTAGAAAAATGTCTGATTTTATTTCCCTAGGCTACTGGCTACTGGATCTATCAAAGAGGCTGGAATATTCAAAAAAGCCATGTGACAGAACGTTACCACTCTCTGTTGAATTACAATAGTATTTTTATACAAAGATAAATTCACAAGGCTTCACCGAAAATAGCATGGCAGTATTGAAAAGCTAACGATGAATGAAACTATGGAAACGTATGAAACTAATCAGCTGTTTTGCAGGATGTCCTGTAGTTATTCTGTCGGTCTGCAGGGGGAGTTCTTTGAGCAGGATTTTCCAGGAAAGGCAAGAAAATGTTTTTTGACAGATTTGCCTCTCTTTCTTTCAGGATATTGTGATTTATTTTTTCCCCCCTAAGGCGTGATTCCTGTAGGAAAGAAAGAAATTAGAATAAGGCTTATTTGTAAGGCATAGAGTTCATATTTAATTAATTTACTGTCTTCATATTGAAAAAAGGTAATTGCATAGACAGTTCTGTTTTGAGATGGGTATAAACAGATCCTTCTATGGCTTAGTTCTCTGTGCCAGTGCTGTGGGAAAAATGTCATAAATTGAAGGACCGAGACTAAATATTCTTTATAGGTTCTCATTTTATTAATCAATGTCCTCATATTTTTCGTTAAAAATGTTCCCTAATACATTGTAAGCATAGTTGCTTTACAAATACCCAAATGTGCATGTTTAAAATTAATGCTATTCTGTTAATAAGATACTAGCAAAATATTTTATATTATAATGTAGGAATGATGTGGAAGGACACCTAAGAGATGTCCTACAAGATGAAAAAATATTTTAAAATATTTGTCAATATATATTCAGAATGTTCTTTTGGAAGTTTTTTCAGTACTTGCTGAGTTTTATTCTTTAGCGTTTCAGAAGGGTGTGCGTGTTCTTCATTTCTTGCTGTTAACTAACAGAAGATGATTGCAAAATTTCATTTTAGACTATAAAACAAAGGGAATCAACCCCCAAACCTTCCTCACACAGCGGTTCCTCTAGAAACAGCTGTTTTTTAAGGATAAGATCTGTTTAATGGTAATTTCAATAAGAATTTGGATTCATCTCTAATTTATTTTCCTTTGGAAAGCATATTGGTAAGTCAAAATACATGGATTTACATTAAACACATTGCTTAATGAGTCATTTAATATTTACTCTAGTTTCAGAATGAAATATATGTCCCACAGGAACATGGGGATTTAAAGGAGTCAGGATTAAAAGAAAAAAAAAAAAAAAAAAGAATTCCCTGTGTAATTAAAAATAAGCTTTGCTCAGAATGATTCCATCTGCTTTTTCAACAACACACAAGCGTCTGCTGTCCAAGGGGAAGACATGGTAATGTCATCACAAATGCTCCCATGTCATTTGGGTTTAGTGTTGAGGAAAACAGCTAGAAATGATGATTACACAAGGAAAGAGTATGCCTTTAGCCATGGCCCTGTATCTTCAGTGCACTTCATGCTTTCTTATGGGTATGCTGGAAATGGTGTTTGCTCCCTCATGAGATAAGCAATGTTAATTTATAGGCAAATAAGGACATCATCCTAGAGTACTGCTTGCAAATACCATTATGTGGAATTAAGAGTTGTGAATGTGAGCATGCACACACGTCCACACAAATACACATCCATAAAAATACTCATAAATAAAATGTAAAAAATGCAGCAAATATTTCAGCTGAATCAAAGTGCTAGGTGTTTTATTAAACGTTTACTAACGTAAAAACAAGTACGACATGACATTATCAAGTACTGGCTTTACGCAGTAAAATATCCCTCGTGGCCTTTACAACATGCTCTTCCATTACTAATAGTTAATAATGCTATTTGAATTCTACATTCTACACCAATACATCTGAGCCCCACATTTCTATTGTTTATTTCCCTGTTACTGCATCGCTTTAGGGGACAGTAGGGCACCAGTTAGTGCAGTGGGGGCATTGTCCTCTCTGACATGTGGGAGGAAATGCTGCCAATCATTCACACTGTGCTGAAGTCATTTCCCTCCCTTTTATTCACATGCAGGCCAGTCCAGATACATATTTATTTTTGGGCCCATCTCTGAAATTTTATTTTCTTTTTGAACTCATCCCTTAGCATTTACTCAGTGAAGAGCCATGTGAAGGCACTTAACTTGTGCTTGACAATCAAGGGAAAATAAAATTAGCCACAGAATGGTAAAGAAACTCATTTGTATTAGGCATTATGAATGTTTAATCCCAAATTTACTATTCCTGCAGTTAACCCTGTTGATATTAGCTGCTTACTTTGTATCAGCGTTGATATTGGCTGCTTGCGTCATATCAACGAAGTACAGGAAGGAAACATTTTGGGCTTGAGGAATTAGTGAGAATGAAAACTCAGTATCATGTAAAAAGAAGAGATTGTTTGTAAAAGCTTAATAGCTTAAGAATCTCGTTGATATAATTTTTTTAAAAACATTTTATAATTAGTGAAGTATTAATCCCCTGAATAAGATTACGCAGAGGGAGCAATGTGCTATTTAACTTTACTCTCTGGAAGACTGCCCCCAAGGAATTTCTTCACAGAGTTTTGGAATTAGTATTTTGTAGGTATTTTCAAATGGAGGATGATCAAAACCTGCTAATTATTCAGCTAACGAAAATAATTTGGAAAACACAATAAAAATGGTTATGTTAAAGCAAAAGAACCTCCATTTGGAGATATACTTGTTATTGCCTAGCTGGGCATTGAAATTTCCTCACATTTCATGCTACTTGAAACAATCAATATCCAATAAAAAAAAATAATACTGTGGTACTCTGTAGTTCTAGACTTTATCTGCAGTTCATTTAAGAGGAGAATAAAATGAATTTGTCAATTGTGCATAAAAGCTGTTTTAAAAGCCTTTTTATTTTGACCAAGGACCATGTAACCATTTGTTTATAAGAACGTTATTTTATTTTTCATTTTCAAAGTCAGAGATATTTCCCAGAGTGTAGTCTTAGAGAATCAGAATCTTAGCTTGGACACCTATGCTTTTGGCTTAGTCTTTTAACACAGCAGTGTTTTGGCTTTAATTACTTTAAGTGTAAAAAGGAGACCAGAGATCCCTGGCCATGATAAATTTTCATAAAACTACCAGTGATAGAAAAAAAAAGATTTAAAGGATGGTCAGGGAAAGAATTTCCAGGTAAAATTTTCATTTTAATTGGTAAACAGCACATTGTTTCCTTGAAATGAAGTTTCTGAACTCCTGTTTTTCCTACATTAAATGGCTATAAGAAATCAGTTTTTTGATATTGCAAGACCCAAAGCCATTATATTAAAAGTATTAAACTACTCCTTTTTTATTTTAATACATCTCTATTTATATGATTCTAGAATTCTGTTCTTCTTGCAGCATATATCCTTGTGCAATGTATTGCATTATTGTCTCTCAATGTAATTTACTTACAATTGACTGGAGTCTAAAAATAATCATCTACTCGGGGTTCTGTTCCCTAAGCTTAGCTATTAACTTGCACAATAAAAGTCTGTCATATACAAGAATGATTGATCTAAGCAAGCTAAAGGAAAAGATGTTCAAATGCTCCCTGTTAACATGTAAATTACATTAACATAATCTTGAATTAATCATATACACTAGTCTGAAAATTGCCTGCCTTTTAATATAATGGGAAAAAGCTATGGAGGTATTTTAGCTATGATTGTGACGCATATTGACAAGCGTGTGCAAAATACAGTTACCTTCTGATAGATGATTCGTGTCCCATCTCAGCTCCTAATTAGCACTTGAAGGTTAAGAGCAAATCTCCTGCGGCCCCTGAAGCGTACCATGCTGCTGAGCCTGCAGAAACACCAGCTTCTAGGCTGATGCCTTTGGGAAGGGTCCAAGCTCCCAAGCCAAAATGCCATCTGAGGGATGTCCCAAGCCTCACTCAGAGTGCAGCTCTGGCATACGAGTCCTCAGCCCTTCATGTCTGCTGATGGGAAGACCAAATACACTGTCCATCATCTGACTGACTAAGAAAGAGCATCCCAGCATGTAACAAAAGGCATGCTCAACATTTAGTCCAAATGCTGTCAGTGCTCTAGTTCCTAAAAAATGTAATTCTTTAAAGCTTAATAGCTTTTGCCTTTAAAATACCATATGGTACTAATCTCTTTTGTTTGTTCATATCATTTATGTGAGAAAAAAAGACCACCTCCAAGCTTTTAAACGATAAGCCTTTGCACATTCAGTCTTTGGGAATTTTATTGTGAACGAGCATTATGTTCTGCCAGAAAAGTCGGTGTTTATGTCTCATTGTACTTTCAGGCAGACAAATAAGAAACAGCTGAACCATAACTGTACTCTGCACAAATTAACTATTGTGTAAAATAAACACTTTTGTTGGCTTATGTATCACTACAGGGGGTTACAACATCAATGATGTCATGTTTTACTGGACGAGAGGAAATGATTCAGTTCGAGGCTTGGACACACTTCGGCTGGCACAGTATACAGTAGAAGACCACTTTACCTCGGTATCTGAAGCGGTATATGAGACAGGTAAAAACACCCTTATAACACTTCCTAGGTACACTTTGGAATATAGCGCTGGAAACTGAACAGCATTCAGAAGCTAGGCATGATGCTTTCTCTTTGGGTGACACATTTTCATTTTCTATTGGATTGAGTTCTGGAAGCCTTACGTGAATCTCTCAGATGTTACCAGCAGAGACCCAACTAATTTAAGGTTGGAAGTTTTTAAGTATTTTCTTGGACAGTATTATTATGGAGGCTACATATTGTCTAAAGAACAATGAACAATAAATGCATTATTTATCTGCGTAATGTCAGGAGGAATTCTTTTAAAGGAAGAAGGACCTGTAAGTTGAGCATTTAAATTTGAGTGAGACCATGGACTCTGGGTGCTCAGTTCAGGACAGTTCCCAGCATGTCTGGGATTTCCATTCTGGTTTTATTTGACAAAGCTGAAAGCCTTTATTTGACCATGGAAATTTCTGTGAATATGCTGGATGCTCTTGGAACACCAAGAAGTTGTGCTTTATTGCTAGTGCTTGCAGGAATAGCTCTTTGTCTGCAGCAGCCTCTGTCCAACCTGGTGGGCAGCAGAGTGCAGGTTGCCTGTCCTGTGGTTCCTCTGCCCAGGAAAAGATCTGAAGCATTTCCACAGACCTGCTGTTCTGCTGATCTTAGAAAACAGCTGTAGAAAGTTTCCGCTCACTGCAGGACTTGACCTCATTAAAGAGTCTGCTCCTGTTGTTGTTGTTATTATTATTATTATTTTATTATTTTTTCCCTCTGAAATTTTGACAGTGCTTTTGGAGAGTTCAAGACATGCCAAATGTGCTTTCTGCTCCTTGAATTGCTCTTAGGTCCTTCATTGCTATTCTTCACTGCATATTCAGTTTCTCTTCTGCCCAAGCCAACATACCAAGGAGAATATGCAAGGGGAATCCTTAAATGAGGACACAAACATCCTTCAAAGCTGTAGTTTCAAGATTGTATGCTACTAAGTCTGAATCACTGATATATCATTCTGATATTCCATTGTTGGGTATTTCTATTTTAACAATACAACACAGAGAAACTTCATGGTCTGATTTCAGGCATTAATTTAGGCTGAAAGTCAAAGTTCTCTAAATGGATATAAAAGTAGAAAAGAAATATATAAGAGCAGGCTCAGGGATCACAAAGTACTTTGCTACTTATATAACTGACATCTGCTTGCCTTCCTCCTCTTTATAGCTTCAGGCTAAGCAACATCAGGTTCAATCAAAGGAGAATAAGCCTTTACTGCTGTTCTGCCCAGAAGGGTATTAGAACCTGTTCACCATACAGGAAAGAGGGAGAGGAAAACTGCCTAATTCTTACCACCTTCTGTCACAGAGTCCAGAGAGTGCCAGAAAGCCAAAAGAATTTCTATTATTTTTTAGCAGATGGAATAATTACAACTGAAGTGGCATGGTCAGATAAATTGTGCTCTTTTTTTTCAGTTAATGATGCTGTCTTCTCCTTAGGTTGGCAATAATCATATATATAAAGGCACTTTTTGTTTTAGTGTCTTAACATATGCAACTTAATTTGATTAAAATTTCCCACATCTGCTTGTTTCAGTTCTACTGCCTGCATAAGAAAGCCACATTATGAAGTGCTATGCAGTATTTTTACATGAAATCTCATAATCCTCTTAATTTTCTACCAAGTCTATGGTTTAGGTGCTATTTTCTACAGATTTTTTAGGAAAGCAGTGCCTTCTGTAGCCCATAATAAATGCAAAAAAAGCAAATAAATTATGGAACTATGTAATCAATTTGGAAGGGAAAAATTATATTTTGGATTTCCTTAACGTGATTAATAGATGTCCTGAAAGTATTTTATAAATAACAGTTATGATTCACAAGGCTAAAGCTACTACAACACTGCTTTTCTTTAGTATTTCCTAACACAGCAAAAAAAGCAATCAGGATTTGAACTTGAACAGACAGTACAGCTGTTGTGCAAGTGAAATATTGTACAGTGATACAAGCCCAAGTTCACATGTGACCACAGACAGAGCCAAGATTAGAATGTGGTCAGCAAAATTCCTGCATAAGCAACTTCAGTAAATTTAAGAAAAGAACATCGTGGATTAATCTTGTTTAAAGAACACCATGTATCACATAATAGTAGTGATGTTATTATAATCACATAATAGTAAGTTACTTTGTATAACATTAACTATGTTGCTGGACTAGCAATTTTGTGTTGATTTTTTTCTTGACACAGAATAATTTAATTTTGTACATAGGTAAATTCATTGCTAGAACTACTTTCTGGAGGTCTTTAACTATAATCCTTATTCTGCAGACACTGAAGCATACTCTCTTGGACCCCAAAACCAAGTATGTGCATCAGTGGATGCTGGGTTTTTATTTTAGCTGTCTAGCCAACACCACCTGCATTCTCAGAGTAATAAATGGTGATGTAAAAAGATTGCCTTTTTTACTGGAAAAACATGAAAGAATTAAGGACTGTTACAGTCTAGCATTTTGTGTATATAATAATAGAAATAAGGTTCACTTAATCTATTCTAATGTCCCAAGATAAGATCATCTATACCAACAGCCAACTTCCTAACAGATGTTTTCAGGAGTAAATTAGACAAACCTCTAAAGTGTCTACTCCTTGGCCTCCCTAGATGATTTTTTCTGGTGATTATTAAAAGCATATTTTCCTTGTATCTCATCTTGATTTCCCTTGCTGCATTTCAAACCTGTTATGCTTTGCATTGTCTATTGTGGATAAGGAAGACAAATTTCCTGCTGTTTTTCAGCAGCTCTTTCACCATCTCAAAAGAGGTACATCTCTCAGACTAGCACTTTCCCTCTCTTTAATTCATACAAACAGTTTTCTAGGTCTCCTGTCTTTGCTATTGTTCTTCTGTAGACTTTCTATTGTCTTTGTTGTATGTGCACACGAGCTGGTACCCTGGGTACCCTGTTCCTATCTGAAGTCCTCTGTAAATAAATGGAGGGGATTACTTCATGCATTTCCTCTTTATCCATTCCAGGTTGATATTTGCTTTTCTTGCAGAAAATTCCTGTGCATTGTTGACCTTGTTTAGCTTGCAATTTCAAGCTAGTAATTCCTGTCTGAGGGTAGTAGTTACTTCTTGTTGAATTGCATCTTCTTTTATTCAGGCTTTTTCTGATACTTTTTGAGATAATTTTGAACTCCAGTTTTTCTCTCCAGTGCAATAACACTGCTTTCTGTTCGGTGTCTCTTAAAAGACACTCTGTATGCCATAGTATGCCATCATATTTGGTAGTGAGAAGTTCTGGACACAGCGTGGACTCCTGTGTGTTCCCACTCAATAAATTCTTCTATTTTCACAGCAACTAATAGCTTATCAATCTCTATTTATATTTTTAATCAGGAAAAAAAGCAGAAAAAGGATTTGATACTTGAGGGTAATTAGCTGCTGATAGCTTTTCCTCTTTTCTGCCTGGCATCTTCCTTACTCTCACTGCAGTCTTCCTGCCAAATTTTCAGCAGAATCAGGAGAACTGAGGCTCAGTTTGCTCAGCCTAACACAGAGTCCTCAACCCCTGCCCAGAAGCCAGGGAGAGCTTTGTCAGGCAGACCTCCCCTCTTAGAAATCATGAAGTCAGCAAGGTAGCACATCCAAATGGTATTATTCTAGCAGAACAGAGAGAAAGAAGAGACAAAGCCTTCCGTCCTTGATGCACGATGATAATAAGGCATTTGCCCTCCTGAAAAAGCCTGCAATGGGAGCTGGCTGCTGTTCCTTGTCTGAAGTCTGTCTGCAGGATTTTTCACAGTTTTTCTCTCCAAATATAGAGGCATTACCTTGCTCAGTCCTCCAGGACCCTCTGCAGTTCCCCAAGGAGATTTCTTCTTAATCAGCAACCAAACTTTTCTAGGATTTTCAGGTCTTCTATTTCAATGCGCAGTACACTGAATAACTTCTGTCATTCACTTTATCAGTTCTTTTATAATTTGTAATTGCTCTCTAAGTGTTATTTCTGATAATATTGTCTTTGACATACAGGTCTCAAAAACAATCCTAGAACTGTATTTAGTATAATCTTATCTGGGGACCTCAGCTAAGATTCAAGCAGTTACATATGTATATGTATCTGTTACCACGTATGTTCAACTTACCTATCTGAGCTCTTCACTCAGATAATCGCTTTTTCTAAGTAAGCCTTTCCACTTGAGTTGAAGTACAGAAGTTTTCCATCATTAGTTCTTGTTGTGATGTTTCTGCAATGCTTCACACTCTTTACCAAAGCCAGAACTGTTCAGAATGAAAACAGTTATGAAAAATGCACTAAAAAAGTTACAGTAGCAGAAAAGCATGTGGAAAGGCTATGAACTGGATGAATATTGAGGACACTGGTAAGAGGTTTTTTTTTTTTTTTATGTTATTATTAACTTCAGGAAAGTTCTTTATAGTACAGACAGAAATACAAACATATAGAAAATTTCCTGCGGCATAATTGTCTTTAAGTTTTTCTTTTTTTTTTTTTTTTTTTTTTTTTTTTTTAACAGGTAAGCTAAATAGACATATACATGTATATCTGTACACAACTACGACATGAAAGAGTATGTTTCCTTCTTAGGAAATTTGAATTTCAAACTCAATTTTTGTAAAGCATTTTTGTGAAGATGAAACGCAAAGCCCATCCTGATCTTTCATTTCCTTTTGTTCACCTCTGAAGAACAAATAGGAAGGAAGTAGTTTATAAGATCCTGACTGTGAAGAACAGAAAACTATGATTGTTTTCTGAAGGAAGGACAAAGGAGTTTTGATACTACCCATGTATATTGGTACCCTTAGCATCCTACGAGTCAGATAAATTGCTTTACAGTTGCACAACTTGTTTGTTGGGTAAAAACGTAAACAGTGCTATTTCTTAAGGCATATTTATGTTATAAACAAGTAAAATTGCATAGTGAAAACTACAAATTCAGCACGTAGGTAAGGCAGTTAGACTTTCTCCTGTACTGTCCCCTTAAAAGGTGAAAGCAGGGAAGGAAGTGATACATTGGTAGAGTTATACTGACGTGCTTGTGTGAGATGTACATCACACATTTTATCTGGCACCCAGGGGGTTGGCATACATATTTCATGATAGGGAAGAATGTACTCTTTGTGCCTGACTGCACACCCCTGTGCAGGATACCAAAGTGCTGCTTCTTACATAAAGAGTAACGTGGAGCTTTCTTTTACTGGAGTAGAGTTCTTCACGTCCATAAGAAGTAACTGTGGGAAGATGCTCCTAAGTTAAAATGGGGATGCTGTCTGTAGAGCATCAGTCCTTTCTTCAGGCTCCTCTGCTGTGACTGTCTGCTGTTTTGGGGGGAGCAGAAAGTGCAGCGAGGCAGCATTCTGCCATCAGCCAGGAGCAGACACCCTAGAAAAATGATCTTGAAATGATTTTGGCATATCTAAAAAATGGATGATCTAGGGTGATAAGGAAGCCTGTTTTTTTTTTTTTTTTTTTTTTTTTAAAGGTTTATTTCTCACTGTGTATTTCTCAGTCAGTGCAATAGTAGTGTTGTTAAAATCATCAGTATTATGTAAAGATCTAACAGTGTCAGGTGGGCTGTGCTGTAAATTAGAATATTGTTTTAGAAGTGAAAACCAAAAACCAACTTATAAGAGAAATAAGCTGTGTTTTCTTGCATTCAGAAAATTCTGCCTTAGACTTAGACCTATACCTGTTCAGGTAATGGGAAAGAAACTGGTATAATTTTTAGGACACTAAACCAGAAGTAGTCAGCTAGAACCACCCTGAAGTTTGATTTTGTTCACTTCCTTTCATTTTCTAGGGTGCTCTTTTTTAAAGCAGTAGAGAGAATTGGGAGTATATATAGAGACTGTAGTCTGCTATCTGGGTATGTACTTCATCTGTCAGCTAGAGCTACTATCTACTTTTGTACTTCTGCCCTCTAGTAAATTCTATAAAGCCAAAGTAACTCACCTTAATCTTCTTTCACTATTGGGTAACCTGAGTAGGATTGTCTCACCTTTTGGCAGGTTAAGAATAGGTATATTGACAGCCATTCAGGTTCAACTCATATTTGACAATCTATTAGACACAGTGATTTGATGCTTTGGTAAGTGCTAAATCTGTGCCTTCACTGCAGAGTTAACTATCTGCACAGAGATTATTTCCATCGCATAATCAAATTTAAATTGGGGCACTCACATACTGAGGTGACATCCATCATGGGCCAAAAACTTGAATAAAAAAATACCTTTAATGCAAAAATTTTGTTCTCAGTATCACTCAAGCAAGGGGAAGGCTTGACAGTTTTCAGGAGTTAACTTTAGTAAAGGCAGGATTAAAATTGCATGCACCTGTTTCACTTTTGATCTGATTTATAGCATCACAGTCTTGGATGTGCAAGTGAAAGCCAATGAGATAAGGTAGTTGTGCATCATCACTATCTCATATGCAATGCATATAACAGTAGTAGCAAATCTGTTTCTTTTTAAACATAACTTTTGATACACGTGGAGTGTAGAGGTAAAAAGGACTGTAGTAGTTCCTTATCTTTATTTTATCTCATTGGTCATTTGTTTAGGATGCTACACATGCATTACATACTATTTCTTGCCTCTTTTTCCTTTGGTTTATTATGGGAGGAGTTCATATGAATTCTATATATAGGTTTCTTCAAAATTTCCATTATAAAAGCTCTTTTGAGCTCTTTAGAGACACCATTATTATCATGTCCATGATGTGCCTTTGGATTTTGGCAAGCAGAAAGCCTTAAGGTTAAAGAAATGCCTTTTCTTTGTTCCCTGAAAACCACTCAGCTATAAGCTGTTACATCTCTATTTTTCTTTGTTGCTCACATTACTTGAGAAATTTCTGGCATCAGGAAAAATAACACAAAAGAATATGGGAACATTCAAAAGGCTTGTCCATGCTTGGAAATTACAGCAAAATGGGAAAGTGTGAATTTCAAGTTGGATATTTTGAAATAACTTCCCATAGACACATTTGGCTTTTACACTAAGGCAAATGGAGACACAGATGTAGGGAGCTAACCAGGAGAAGATGGTGCTGTATGACTGTTCTGTATTGACTATTTCAGAGTTTTCCCTCCTGGAGGAAATCTCTGTGGCTGAACCACAGTCACTCCAAGTGCCTGTGGAACTCTGCAGGGAGTGCTGTCCAATCCCTTCACCCCATTTCCTGGGTACATGGTACCGTGTCCTTCCCTGGGGTTTGCACAGAAAGAGAAGACTTTTGTGGAGGACTTGGTTCCCTGCTGATGGGTCACATCCTTCGCATTCCCATGCCAGCTCTGGACTGACACCCTTCCCTCACTCGCAGTGGCCATGCCATCATCCTTTGTGTACTAACTGCCACGATGCTGCTGTTAGGGCATTGGGAGTTACAAACTCTGCAGAGAAAATCTTTTTATTTAGAAATCTCTATTGATTTCTAGAAATCAATAGAGCTTATTAATAATACTTGTAACTGTTTTTATGTAGGTTTCAAATGCTTGCTATTGGACAGTAGAAAGTCACAGATTTACAACTGCATGTACAAACTTAATTCTCTTTCCCTAAACATGCTTTATGCCATGGCCTTTTATTGTACAGACCCAGTGCTTTTCTGTAGCACCAGTGCTTGATTTAGCACAAGAACAAATGCAGACAAAAGTAGAAGTAATGCTGCACTGTCAACAGTTGCACTTCCTAATTGTTGAGTGGTTTACTTAGGTCCACTAAACACTTAAAATCAATTTTGATGGGTGAAAACTTTAAGAAAACAGCTATATGTGTAAAAATTACAATATGAATAGGTTTACGTTAATTTAACATTCCTCTTTTCACACAAAAATGACAAAAATGGTATAAATAGTCTTTGTTCCTCCTGCCTCATGGACAGAGAAAGTCTGTCTGTCTTTGTATCCTTCTTTCTACCATTAGAAGCTTGTTGAATTTACAAAGGAGAACCGTAAATAGTGTATTCGTACCTTCAGAAGGAGAAAGAATCGCCTACCAAAGGACTGTTTAATCCAGTAATGAAAAGGCAGAGACAACATGACAAAAAGCTGAAGTCAGGTTAAGATTAGAAATTAAACACACATTTGTAATAGATAGAATGATTTTAATCCACGTAACAGATTATTTGATGAATGCTGCTTGTCTTGATATACCGAGATAAAGTCTAGATGTCCATGTAAAAGGTGAACTTTATTCCAGACAAAGTGAATGAATTCAAAATAAGGGATAATTGGGAATACTTAATGGCCTGTGATTAAGGTCAGACTACATAATCTACTAATTCTCTCTGATTTCAGGAATTCTAGCAAATCTTATAGTTCTCTAGATTCAGTTTATACAACACTTAAAAACTGAATTTTAACTATCCATTTTCTAGTCTGGCAGCAATAAGGCATTTCTTGACATCCATTACTTATACTTCAAGCTTTTAAAAGTGCTTTTCTTTGACTCCATGTCTCACTGCACACCTGAGGGATACACAAATAGCCTGTCTGTGCACATGATGTTGTTGCTGAGGTGCATTCACTGTGCTGTAATTCTGCCCTGACTCACAGCATGCAGCACTGCAAACAGACATACCTCCTGAAGATCGACGTTTGTTGGAACAAAACAGATGAAGCCAAGGCTATCTAACCACAGTACATTCAAGCATTACATTCTCTCACTGATATTGTAGTACAATAATTTTCTTAAAAGAATGTTGTTAAACATACTTAATCTTGAACTTCAGAATAAAAAGTCTGTTCTGCTCTTTAAATTAGTAAAAAGCAAGCTTTTGCCTTAATTTGATCTGTTGGACAGGTAGCAACTTGAGATCCTACACTTCTGTTGCCCCAGCATAGCTAAATTTTGCTCAGTTAGTGTGCTGGAATTCAAATTCAGACTTTGCTTACCAGTGTGCTATTCCCTAATGAAACCTGATTCTGTCTTTGGCTCTGTGGGCCCAAACTTTCATCTTCTGGCAGTCAGTCTGCTAAAAGTCACTGTGATAACAGTGACTGCTTAGAACAGTGCAAACACTGCACTGCTCTAATGTAAAGAAAAAAATAGTGGAGATGCAAAACCACTGATTGTTTTCAAGTGGAATATGAGAGTTAGGTCAGTATTACTAGAAAAAGTACCTGTCATCCACATCTGGAACAATACTAAATGAAATGAAAATCAAAATAAGCCTGATCTGTGAGGCAGTTAAAGATAAGGACCCATGCTAACTTTATGATGCTATGAATGTTATGCTAGTTTATACAGTAGCTCATAGAGGTAATTCTTGTTAATAAACATAGCTAAATATATAGGTGATTTTAAATTTCCTTGCCTTTCCATGCATTGATGGATTAATTCTTTCCACACTAACCCCCTCTAAATTTCTAATTCAAGATGTCTTTAATGAAGCTATGGATATGAAGTGACTAGATGTCATATATATGGATTTTTCCCTTCAGTTCAATGTAGAATCTTCATGTTCGAATTTTTCAGCACAGTGTTTAATTTTTTCAAGCTTATTTGTTAATCTTTTATTGCATAGCAATATACAGGTTGATAATTTAAAAAAACTTTTTGTGAATTGTACCTTCAAAATATTTTTTCCTGCTCTTTTCACAGGGCGTTACCCAAAACTAGTGTTTCACTTTGAACTCAAGAGAAACATCTTATATTTCATACTAGAAACATACGTACCATCAATCCTCCTGGTTGTGCTCTCCTGGGTATCATTTTGGATAAGCCAGTCATCAGTTCCAGCCAGAATCTGCATAGGTGAGAAGCCAATAAAACAAACCAAAACAAGGGTTGGAACATTAAGATGCTTGTTTTATAGTGCGTACGTGGCATCCGTTTCCAAAAGGTGCAAATGTTTCCAAGTTTTATGGAATTACTTTTTTAGTTTGCCATCTGCAGCACATCATGCAAATTCTCCTTGAAGCTCTGCTATTCTTTAACAAAACAAATGTCCTTGGTAGCAAAAGGAGATTGGGAAGCAGGAGAAGCTACTGGAAGGAGAGGAAAAAACAGTCGTTTTGGAAATCATTTCAAAATATTCAAACGCATGCTATGTACAGACAGAATTATGAGGCTTTTGTGAGGGTGAATGATACATACTAATTAACACAGGAATAATAAGAGAATTATGAGATTAAATATAATTAATTTCAAATAAAGGAGATTCTGAAAGGGAAAAATGCAAATCAGCTCTGATCAGACTGCAGGTGGGGTAGGAAAAACACTTCTATAGAATAGCAAAGAAAAGATTGCACATCAAATGAGGCTGGTGGACAACTACACTGAGAAACATGACATCTGAAAGTTTTAAAGGAAGCATTTGAATTGCATTGCAATGATGATGAGTTAATAATATATATTCTAAAGAATGAAAATCTCTTCCATTTTAATTTTCATTTTTTTCCACTTTCCAAACATTGTTCTTGAGTATTTTCAAGCATTTAACTTCAGAATTGCAAATGCATTTGGAAGTCTCCTTTTCAAAACATGCCCTTTTAAATTCTGTGGCATACTAGGTGTTCATGAAGCTCAGGAAAAAAACTATCCTGGTTTCCCAAATGCATTGGAGGGCCTCTTTGCTATCCTTGTTTTATCAGAATTTATATTTTTGTGTTCCACAGGTGTTACCACAGTCCTAACTATGACAACGCTGATGATGGGAGCCAGGACTTCACTCCCAAATGCTAATTGCTTTATTAAGGCAATTGATGTGTACCTCGGTATCTGTTTCAGTTTCATCTTCGGAGCCTTGTTAGAATATGCTGTGGCTCATTTCTGTACTCTGCATCGACCGAGCTCAAAGGAACTTCCGAAGGTATTTTAATTCTTCCCTTGTTGATCTGCAAAGTAGACGTCTATTATATCTGCTAAAAAGAATAAGTTATCCTATTTAGCATTAATGATAAAGGTATTTAAAGAATTTCGTATTTTAGAATAATGACAATAATAACAAAATAACCTCAAGAAAAAAGGAAAAGGATTTGTACTCCTGGAACTTTTTGGAAGAGATCAAACAAACCAAAACACCAATGTGCTAGATGTATCACAAAAGTCAGGCACCCACCTTCTCACAAGCCATGGCATACGCTTTCTTACAATTCAAAAATTAGACTGAGCAAGGCAGCTTGATCTTATTGCTGTACAGCAAAAGCAGACAAAGTTTTATCATCTACCATTTAGGAAACCTTTTGCATATTGCATGATACGTGAATCAGCTTACTAGCAGACAGCTTCATGTCTTAGGTATGTCAGGTCCCTATAGCCTTCCACCTACACCTTCTTTCTGAACAGCTGCAGCTGAAGCTCAGACTGTGATTCACTTTCTGTTCTGGGTCATTATTATAGCAATGTTTTTTGCTGCTCTAATGAGCTTCTTAGAACGGTGAGATATTGTGAAATAGACTTAAAATAAAAAAGGATCAAGTCAACATAGGCATTTTTGAGTCTGGTGGTTGTCATCTTGCTAAAATAATCAGGACAGTTTCATGAAGAAGTTCTGTTATATCCTTCATCTTCAGTATTTGGCAGTGAAAACAAAGTCATGAGAAAGTTGGAAGCTGAGTGTCTTATAGCTTTTAATTATGGAACCGAGTCTAATATGTGTGACAAAAAAAAAGAAAATTTAAAGCAGCTTACAAATTTTCTAGACAAAGATCAAAAAATTCACTTTTTTTTAATAAAGCATGAAAAATGAGAATATGAGGAAAAACAATACAGGAAGATGATTGGTTGAGTGCTGTACAGTTAAATGGCCGGAAAAAAAAGATTGTTAACAATTTAAGCAATACTAGAACAGAGCATTGCAAATGCTTAAACAAAGCTCCTCAGTAGGTTCAAGAAACAGGACACTGTCTCGAGTTCAAGTAACAAAGCTTAAAAACAATGTGAAGATCAGCTGAAATGTGTTTGTTTATGCCTAGATAGTTCAACAACTAATATGGATATGGGATTTTGGCTGAGTGAATGTGAGATGAGTTTTGTAAATGCACAGGACTATGTTCAAACAAAGCTGCCATCAGATCTAGGTGTGTGAAGAAGGTTTGAAAAAGGGCCACAAAGGTGAGCCACCCAGTGGGTTTTAAAAGTCATACTCTAACTGGGGAATGTCTACAAATGGGCAAATACTGGTTCTGACTGAGGATTTGAGTGGGAAGTCTGAAGGTCGTTTTTCCTGGCAAGATAGCATCAGTGACAATTCCCTCTGAGCATATCCATCTTGTGAAGTAAATGGTTGTCATTTGCTCATAGAGTGGAAAAAAAGAAAAAAGAAAGCTTATTGGAGGTAAGAAAGCCAAGCGCTTCAGTGCTTGGATGATTAAGCATTTTCAGATCTGTGAAGGGCATTTATGACTGCCCTTGCCTTTGCCTACCTGTGTCAGCTTCCCTTTCATATGGGGCACAAGCACGAGTGCTTGCAGATGGAGCAGACGCGAGAACTCATGGAATTAGGTGGAGGTACAGCCCTAAACAAGGAAGGAAAACTTAACGTGCAGTTTTGTGATAGACTTAATGACCGAAAGGGGTGATCTGTTACTTTAGGCATGTTTCCTGCCTTCTTGTGCATCAGGGGTGAGCAAGTCCAGCTCACTGCTTGCCCACACAAACACAAGCATAGGGAAGAGACAGTTAGTGGGTCCTAGATCAAATCAAGACTTCTTAGAATAAGGAAAATGCCTGTCATGTCTTTCTTGTACTGCAGCCAAGGAAATGAGCACTGCTTACTGAGCAGGGTGCCATATAAAGCACACCTGGCTTCTGTTTGTCATTTCACAGTGAAAAACAAAATATCACAAAGACAGAAGTAGTAGCTAAAATGTCATGTCACTGTCTAGCAGGCACTTAACAAATTTCAGTGTGATTATCGTCACCACAAATGTGTTCTCCTCATTATCATGTGCTCTTGTGGACATAGGGTAATTAGAAATCTCACCTCTCAGTTTGTTATTCTCATGCGAGCTGATATAATGTTTGCTCTCAGAATTATGTAAATAAGTTTAGGATGTGAATTGAAAATGTAACCCTCTGCCTTGTATAGGAATTAGTTGCACAGCTTTCTGCTTTGTTCTTTAAAGCACTTGGGCACTGGCATATGAAGTTCTTTTGAGACCTTTGGGCTCTCCAGTTTGTAGTAAAAACTGGTGAAACTGCTCATCACATCCATGCTCTTAGTGTTTCACATTATGTGAAGCAGTACCCACTGAAAGAGCTTCAAAACTAATGGCAAAAGCAGAGGAACCACCTGCTAAAAGGTCGGACAAAATCTGCCATTCATGTGAACTGCATGAGTTTCTCTTCTTTTATACACAGGTGTGAATTGTGCCCTTCTATAAAGCAGAGAAATCATTCTTGGACTTCATCTGTCTTTCACCTAAACCTCTTCCTTTGGGGCAGAAAGGGGAAAAGATTGAAAATTAGGTTACAAGGGCAGTGTTGTGCATACTTGGCATTTCTGTGCCAACATTGTGTGGTCTGTATGAACATTTCAAGAAGCTCCAGGTGTGCAACACTCCTGTTTGAGATGTTTTTAATCTTGAGCATCTATTCAATGCATTCAATGGCAGTAACAACTTTTCTCAGTTCTGCTGGCTGTTAGATGTCAACAAGTACTTCAGTGAGCATAAACAGCAGCCACAGCAGCAGGTCCCCTGTAGTGTCAAAGATGTACAGTACCTTTCCTATATGTTACCAATTTTGTGTCCAAACAGAGCCCTTCTTAGTGCCAGCTGCCATTTTCTCATTGACAGCTGGAATCCAGGGAAATCTAAGTAGCGTGACATTTAAAATTAGAGTCACAGTTGAACTCTTGTAATGCTTTTTTTTTTTTTAATAATGTGAAACATCTTAATCTGTCATTGTATTCATTTCTCCATAATGAGTTTGAAAAGTCCCTTCATAGTGCCAGTTTATAAGATTGTAGGTTTTTTTTTTTTTTAATAAACTAGTGTTTGTGTCTGTTCTTGAGATTAACTTTCCCCTTTTTGAGCCACTTTTCCAGCACTTTTGGTGTAAATACATCTCTGTTAAGCAAGAACCCTACCTTGCAACACCACAAGCAGAACCGAATACATATGCACCACATACAGTATTTGCTGCCGAAGTTATAAATGTCTCTTAGGGAGCAGAAGGGAGTTAAGAACAGCCTAATAAAGCATCAGCTTCCTGCGAATTGTTCACATGTGGTTGTGTGAAAAGAAAAATGGTACGCACGCAATGCCCTTTCACGCTCTGCAGTACAACTAATTCTGTACCAACATTTAGCCAGCCCTACCCTGAGAGACAAATAGACTCTTATCTAGAAAAATGCCCTAAATCCAGCCATTTTTGACGTATAGATGTTCTTCTATTTTTCCCTTTCTGAAAAATGAGAGCACTGGAAAAAAAAAGTCAGGATTCTTCTGACAGGTTCCTTTATTTTATTCACTTTTGAAGCGCCTAGTGCCTTCGTTAGGCGATAGCCTGGGCGCTCGCTGTGTTTGCAGCAGCGGGGGCTCCCCTGCCAGCCCTGGTGCTCTCCTCAGCCAGGGGAGCTTTCTAAAATAGGAGAACCAGGTATTTCTAACAGAGCTGGGCTCCACAGAAAACTCTGGGTTTGAGTTTTAGTGCTAGCCCGGGAATTGTTTAAGATTTGGACCGGAGTTTTGTGGATTGATCCTCTGAGTGCTTTACAGGCAGATTTTTGTCCTGGCCTTTGGTTTCAAAGTTCTCACAGAGCTGCAGGAGGCTAGGTGGGGGGTGAATAAGTTTTTGTAGGTCACTGTATTTTTAATGTCACATTGTGATGAACTATGATTATCTCTGTCAAATAAAATATACTAGACTTTTTTTTTTTTTTTTTTTCAAATTGAAAATGGAAAGCAATAATAATCCCTTTTTCTATCTCCATCTGTCTTGCTTCACTGACTCACATCAGTCTGAGGACATAGTCCAGACTCCACTTTAATTTTCAAGGACATTACTAATTTTAGATGAAGAAAGGCCCAAGAACCAGGCTGTTTGCAAGTACCCTGGGCAGAAGAACTATTCTGCACCACCATGACGATCTGTCCGGTGGTTTAATGAGCATTCATTGTCTTTATTAGCTGTATTATTTCTAAATGAGCTTTAGTGTGGCTATGCATAGGGTTGTACCTATTAACTTTTCTAAAATTTGTCCTTGATTAATCTAGTTATTTCCAGGATGCAAATGGAACAAGTGAATTGGTCAGAGGAAAGAGATTCTGAATTCTACATTTCACAAGTAAATTTTTAGCCTTTTCTTGTTTGTTTGCCACTCCCTGATGTGGAAAGTAATAAAAGCATCAGTAGACACTTAGTTAGGTATAGAACTGCCTCAATTAAGACAACTCCCCCTTCCATCTTTTCAAAATTAGGTTTAGGTTAGATACAAATCTGGAGCCAAACTTTGTGGCTTGGATCTGCTGGTATCTGCAATATCCCAAACCAGAGTTAACACCCCAGAACTTTCAAGAAAGTTCGCTTAGAGCTGATGTCTAATCCCATGTCCTCTGAGTCAGTGGCAGTAAACCTGCTGACTTCAAAGGGTGAAGATTTCATACATGAACTTCATGGCTCTGAGCCATTTCTAATCAAAGAAACAAAACCCACCAGAAGGCTTATACAACATTCTCCACAGGGCTGTCTTGATGCAGCAAAGCACATAAAAATGTGCTTAATCTTAGCATAACTTTGAACTTAAAGCATGGGTTTCAGGACTTGAAACATAGTAGTATGTACTATTTAGTACTGAATTAGTTGTGCAGCTTATGCTTTTTATGATTGTCTTTTTTTTTAATTGGATTTTGTTTTGTTATCTTAACTATTTCTATTTTCATCATGAAGCACAAGGAATAGAGCAGCCAACTTTTCAGAAGGCATTTTGTATTCTGGGATGCTTGATTTAGGCTGCAACCAGCTTCATTAGCTGGTCTGCTAACTCCCTCTACCCCATCTGCCAGCTGGGGCTGTGCTTTACTCACTTTGTAGATATTACCTTTTGTGAGAGTTTCCCCTGAGCTGACGACATTTTTTTTTTTTTTTTTGTGTGTGTGTGTGTGTTTCATTTTGTGGATTTGCTGCTTTCTTAAATAAAGCTTAGTGCACCATATTTGAACACATTCTGCTTTGCTCTGCAGCCCTATGAAAGCTTCTGTGGTAAGCTATTGTTTAAATCAGTGTGTTTTACTTGTATATAGAGACTATGAAAACTGAAAGGAGCTGTCTGGTGCCTGGGGATGCTTGCCCTTGGAATCATGGAGCTGAACCAGGGGAAGAGTTGTAGGAAAAATCCTATTATTTGCTTCACTTCTAAAGTAAATAGGCAAGGAAATGTGCACTTAGGTTCCTGCTGTGCTGTTTTGTTTCCAATCAGGTTGAGGATGAAGAGGCTGAAGAAGAAAGGAATGGAGTCCTGGCAGCAGTTGCTAACAGTTGCAGTGCCTCTGACAATGTGAACAAAATTGATTCAAGCAAGAGCAGCAAAACCAGCATCAATGGCAAAAAGGAGAGAAGTAAACACAGTGGATGTAGTTCACCAATGTCAGTGATGAAAAGACTTTTCTGTATCTTTGATTGTTTCCATGTTAAAAATCCTTACCACATAGACAACTATGCCAGATTTTCTTTCCCGTTATCATTCATCATAATTAATGTATTTTATTGGGTATATTATTTGTATTTCTAAATATTTTAAAGTTAAAAATAGCATGGTTTAAAGGTTAGAAACTGGATACAGTAGGGAAGTTTCAGTAGTATGGGAAAGCTGCCTTAGGATAAAGGGATATGAGGGGACATGCTATCTTTTCAAGCATTTATGCCAACTTTCTTGTTAACTCACTTTTCCACTATTAAATGGCTGTCATCTGAAAATGACTTTCCTTTTAGCATGCCTGTCCCATATTATCCTACTTGTCAATGGACATTAAATCCTTTTTAATATTTTAATGGTCAACTTTGTAAAATAAAAGCTATATTATAGTTGTTTCTGAACTGTGTTGAATATGTTGAAAAATAAAGACATTGAAGTGTTGTTTTCTTCATATACTTTCAGTATTCAATTCCATCTAGCTTTATCAGTAATATATAAGTTTTCCAGTTTATATATGAAGATGGATAATTGCAGGTTAAAGTATTTTTGCTTCATAGAAAGAAACAGTTTTGAAGGTGTGGGCTACCACCACCAACTAAACAATATGCGCAAATTTGTAAGACTGCAAATAAGTATCGAGACTCTTCCTAAGTCTTTACACAGAACTCCCAAAGGCATCAGTAGCTTTTCTGAATATGTGCATGGCAGAATATAGAAGTGGACTGGAGCCAAGAAAGTTTAGATCCAAAGAATTGTTTTCCCCAAGTGAGGAAAATTTTAGGGGCTGGCCAATCCTTAGTGGAATATGGCCATTGATGCTGATGTTTGTACTCTGCACTCTGCTCAGTTACAACTGCCTGAGTAACTATTATGCAGAGGAAAATTTTGATATGCTTCATTTTCAGCTTAGCAAATTCTGCTTCAGTCACTTGCTATTAAAAATTTTGTGTAAAGATGAAAAGGCTTACTTCCAAAGCTGACAAGAAAACCCCTGGATACGCAATAACTCTTGATGAGAAGAGGGAAGGTTTTACACAGATAAACTTACGACCCACATTACAGAATGGTTACACCTGATGAAAAATGATCACAGTCTTTCTGACTGTTGACTTCACTGATAGATGTTACAGAAGTTACTGATCTGGCAACCTGTTTCCTGTACTGCAGTTTGGAAGTTTAGACGCACTTGTTGCACTTTTCCCTTACCGTTATAAAAGTGCCAGTTGCAAGTATATGCAACCTTTGAGGTTCCTTCCAACCCAAATCATTCTATGTATATGTACAGATGCGTATATGTGCAACTTAAACTGTGTACCTTGATATTTATGATGATATGCAACACTGCACATGTAGAAATTCGTTAGAAATCCTCCGTAATGTTAACAGTCTTTGACTTAGCTTCTTTGCAGTATGATGCCTGTGAAGGTGAACACTATTATGAGAAGGAAGAAAGCATAAAATATTAGTGAGTTTTATTTGCCCTTCCTTGCAGCAAAATCCATAAGAGGTGTAAGAAACAAGATGTATTGTGTACTTTTCTTTAAATCGTTCTGCTGTTGCAGATTTAATCTTAAACTTTGTATTCAGAAACAGATTATGGGAGTTTTGCTTTTTGTTTATTTTGGAAATGAGTTGTGAAACTGGATTTTGAGATGTTTTTCCAGTTCTTTCCACCATAAAATTCACAGGAAGCATAAGTAGAGCTCTGTATTTAGTTTCCTAAATCTGAAGTTTACATTGACCCTGAATATTTTTAAATAGCTCACTCATATGGTACAAATTATCTGTTGTGTTAACACTAAATTTAGGATTAACATTTACTACAGTTGTAAAGTAAGCATTGTAGTTTCCAATTAGTTTAGAGATAATTCATCTTCCTGGTGGTTTGTTTCTTAACAGAACAGTAAATTATTGTGAAAATAAAATCATTTGTTGAGCTATGTCTTACAATACCACAATATATATATATTTGGAGATTTTAGACATTTGAAGGTATTAGCCCTTGCTGATTTTTCTCTTTGTCAATTATTTGTTGTCTTTCTCAGCATCAACTATATTTTAGGTAAGTATCGTGCAGCCTGCTTAGTGAGATGCTGGTAGGGATGTTATGACTGTATCTGAAATATTCCACCTAAATCAAAAGGCACATACTAAAAAGATGATGTTTTGGAACAGGCATTCACTAACTCATAAACCAAGGTGGCACTTTAAATAAGTATAGAAAGTTTGTTTTAACATATAGTTAGACAACTAAATGCCCTATCTGAATTCTCCAGTCAACACATATTGCAAGCACAAGACAAGGGCATCCCATCCATCTGTTGGTCTGAGTAGCCATATTCAGCACCGTGGCCACCTTTATAATCAGTACAGCAGTAACCTACATAGCTCTGTTCCTTTCATTGCAAGTCTCTTCATTGTATGTGATAGTTATTTTAAAAGAACAGTTGTGTCTTTTGACATGCGAAATATATTAAAAGAAATAACATCCAACATTTTCACTCTGCAATTCAAAAATAAATTTAAAAAAGATTGGAGATTAAAGAAAGCATACTTCATAGTAAAGCCAGTGACAGAAGAAGAAACAGAAAGATGTAGATCTTCTGCTTTCCACTAGCAGTTCTTGCAGTGGCATAGTGCAGCAGAGTGCAAAAAACACCACTGGGATTATAATGTGGAGAGGCTACTGAAGAACTGACACTACTGGTACAATTCACTTTATGCAGCAGTAGAGGGAGCTAATTAACTACTCTTCATGATTGAATGAGCAAACGTAAATGGCTAGTTAAGGATTCTAGAGAAAAGCTATTAGAAACTGACTTTTGTATTATGGTAACTAGGTCATGTTTTCAGTAACAGATTAATTAAAACCAGACAAAACAGTGTAGTCAGGTGGACCGTGTTTTTCTCACTGAAGTTCAGGCTTCTCAAACCCAGAGTGCCATCATTTTAGCCACCTAAATCAGTAGCATATTCTGCCAACCTGTGAAGTAACATCGCAACCACAGTATCTTGTGTTCAATGCCTGACATATCTATCCTTAGGTTGAGGTTTTCTCCTGCAGGTTATAATGATTCAAATCAAAGTATTACAGTACCTCAGTGTTTCAAGACAGGCAGACTAGTGGCAGTACCTATGATTTTCTCATCAATATTTAAAAATCCTAAATAAATATTCACAGGTAATTTGTGGGCACACTGCTAAGAGTTAACACAAGCATCAAATTAATCATAAAAGCCAGTTCAAATCTTTAGGAGAAGTTTCTCTTGAAGATGGGGTTTACTGAAGTGGTGGGAAATGAATCAGGGGGCGTCTTCTGGGCTGATTAAAGATGTCACTGCAAGAACAAGCTCTCTCAACCTGAGTGCTGAAGACTGGGATAGATGCTGCTCACTATAGTAGGGAACTGGGTGCTCAATGGTGTTTGTAGCTGATAGGCTTGACATGACTTTGAAGACTGTAATGGATTTGCCATTACTTCATATAATATTATATAACTTCATAATTAATACCAGCGTGTAGTTTAATCATATTGCCAGTTTCATCTTTTTATCAGTTTTCATCTGGAGACATTTTTCTTTCCTAGTCTCATCTAGCAGTCAAACTTTCCATCCTCAGAGAGAGAAGGATTTTAGGGGCATTTTAGTCTTCTGATGTGAACTTACTCATATAATTTGGGTTCTGTGTTTGCTTTCAGACTGGAATGGACCCTGTTTTCCTATTCCAGATGAAATACAGCTACAGCTTCAGAAGATAAAAAAAAAATATAAAAAAAAAATAGCACCATCATACATACACACAAACCACAGCCCTGATTAATTTTCAAATTCTGCTCTGCATCTGAATTTAATCCAGATTTAACCACTAGATAACTTCATATGTATTAATGCACAAACAGTTGATGATGCTTCCCTTGCTGTAGCAGGTTTTGGAACCTAGACAGTAGAAAGATTTGATAGTAACTTTATTTGATTTCTCAGAAAGGAGGGGAATCTCACTATGCTCGTTTAAAGGCAGATAAGGAATGGATCCAGAATCTCATAGCTCTCGGTCTAACTGAGGCCTAGCTGCTTTGCAAGCAAAACAAGCTGGCAAAGTTAGGGGAAAAAAAAGAATAATAAAAAAAAAGAATAAAATGAATTTCAAGCCTGAATTACATGGCATTATATTCTCAGCTTGCATGCCCCTGACCCTGATGGTTTCTTTAAGAACCAGTTCACTCAATCCACTTCCAGTTTTGCTTTGTCAAGAAGCTGCTTTGGATGAATTCCACTACAAGACAGACAGCCTGCATCTTCCTTTACCTCCTCCAGAGGTCCACAGTCTCTGGAATCATATTTTCTCCACAGAATCAACATCAAAATATTACTGGATATGCACATTCAGGAATGGAAACTATCAATATTTTCCATTCATGCCCACAGTTGATTCATCCTTTATCTGCCTTTACCCACATAGCTTCTTTCACAAATGGCATTGATATAATTCTGGCCGTCTCAGTGCTTCTCCATCGCAAAAGACCCACCTGTTTCCATCCCAGGTTCTTTCTGGCTTAATCCTTGTCCCATTGTTAAACTGATGATCTCCCTACTGAGGATCATGGATAAGTTTCCAAGAATGGTCACATAACCATTACGTGACTGTGGACAAAAGGTTCAGCATTTTATCTGCCCATCTGTTCACCATCTCCTGCTATCTTTTGGCCATGAAAGAAGGAATGAAGAAGAATCATTTAACAGTGCATTAGTCTCTTCTAAGGAAACCTTCTGTACATTTCTATGCATTTAAATACTAGTCCACTAGACTCATATGCTGAACTAGCTATGCATGTAGCTAATTTAGTCCTAATCAAAGTGATCTCCATTCACAGCAATATAGTTTTGATTATATTTAATGGATACAACTGTCCTTTCCTGAGACAATTTCCTTCCTTGTGAAGAAAACTAGATCTACAAGAACAGCTTCCAACCTACATTATTGGTCTGTGAGTTGGCCATAGGGATCTGGTCCAATCTTCGCAATAGTTTTATAAGGCTTGCCGTGACAACCCTTAGTGCATTTCTGACAAGTAGAGACACTGTTGGCCTCTCAAAATAGCATAATATTCAAAATAATAATATAGCATATTAAGGTCTGTGAGTAGCTAAATATAAGTTGAACAGAAAGATAATGTTCATCACAGAAAATGAATAAGATATTGAGCATAATTTCTTCATCTTTCCCCATTGTTCTTTATAATTGTGTAAGTGTTATGTTCAGGTATCATTCCCAGTACTTCCTGAAGTTCTTTCATAATGAAAGATTCAGAGATCCTACTGATCCTACTGATCCTACTTTTCTTTTAAAAGAAAAATCTGAAATATGATGTGCAAATACTCTAAAGTCTTTGAAGTCTGAGGCTTCTTACATTTCAGGATAGTTTTAATTCTGCTGAATAACCTTTTTACACAC